AAAAGGCATTCCGGAAAGGCTTAGAAAAAAATTTCAAGGTGGAACTGCATTGAATGTGTTCCATAGTTTTTAAGAGAACTGTTGTTCCATTGTGCCAGGTAATATTCTGCTTATACTTGTTTACGCGTTTTACTCTGTGTGACAGCAGTCCAGGGAAAGTTTTAGCAGAAGAATTATCTCAAGAGCCAGAAGAGTTAGGAAGCTGAAAATTTCAAGAAGATATTTTCTCCTGCGGGAGCAAAAGAAAATACCTTCCTAAAGTTTTTTTTTGACCAATTTTCATTAGTTTAGAAAGGAGTGGTTTCATATATGGGCAACTGAGCATTCTGATGTTACAGCTTGTTGTCGAGAGCGTGAATAATATGGCGAAGGAATCGCAGTCCGCGGCATGGAAGGATCTGAAAGGAGTGAAACATCGGAAGGTGGCAGATGTGCTGATGAACAATGTGGATCAAGTGTCCATGGCAGTTAGTTCGCTGATAACCCCCGATACACCTCGTATCGTTATGAAACCAAATATTGGTATATTTCATTTCATAGGTATTTTATTAGTAACAAACTGCCCAACCTCAAGACGTGCGATTTTCCTCTTCATTTCCTGTGAGGGTGATAAGCACAAGTGTGCCATCCATTCGATAGTGCTTTCAATATTAGTAATTAACAAAGCTGCCAGTGCTTATTATAAAACTGCTTTACAGTGTGTACTTTTCTTGATTGCTTTTCTACCGGCTTTTTACGGGTTTGATTTCGAGAAATGCAAAAAAGCTGGACTTGTTTTTTAAACGTTAAGACCACTACAATCTTTTGCACTGAAAACTGAAACAAGTTCGAATGGATTCATTGCAGAAGTGGAGCTGGAAATATCGGATGTTCGAGTACATGATTACGTAACGTTCCCGAGTATGAGCCTATATCGCACTACTTATGATACGGTTGATATTCCAAGAGAAGCGCTCACTTTACGAAATAATGCTATAGGTTTTTTTTAAATTTAGTTTTTGTTCATGATGTCTCAAATATTTACTTCAAATATTTTAATTCTTGGGAATTATTTTGGCGTTTTTCCAACAAATACGGCGTAACATTTAAAATTTCCATTTTTTATCGATCTGTATGTTTTTGCAGATTATGCCAAAGTTCTATATGTATCGTATTCATCGATGGCTGAACATCTGAAAGCTGCGCCACGAGAGAGTGCGGATGGTAGTGTAGTACCACGACATGTTGCTTCAAAAGTAGTCTCTGCTTCACTGATCAACGAAGAGAATAAAATACAGTCCATTGATCATCTCCAGAAACCAGTGATTATCACCTTTTTAATGGAGGTGACCACTTTTCACATTTATTTCTAAGTAATGTTTTATTATTGTCATAAGAGAAATTTGTTACGCATTTTGATAATGGTACCTTCCCAATAAAAGTATTAATAAGAAGCAGAATACTTTGCATTAATGAGCTGGTTTTTCATAATCGTGTTTTTCCTCACCATTGATGCAGCTAGCAGTTTCTTAATACTCCTCTGTTTTGGACCTCTTCATCCGTATTATTTTACTCGTGTTCTTTTAGCATTTTATGAGTACCATGCAATAATTCCAGGATAAGCATCAAGGCACCCACTAGACGACACAGCATTAGTTACCGTAGCTTTTCGAGCAGACTGAGAAAAAAATATTAATATGTATTTCTAATAAAAACATTTGGTACAGATAATTTATTAAAAATATTGCAGTGCTGAATTTTTTTTATTAGGTTATTGTTTATATGTTCGTTGTGTGTCGAGTTCGAGACACACGTTTTTTAGGTTTGGGTGTAAGTAACTGCCAGGCTTGGCATAGCAAGCAGCAAGTGGAAAGTGAACGAACAAATAAATAAAGTGAAAAAGAATGACAAATCAAATGTCTCTTCGTTGTTTATTTATGAGTTTTTCTCTTTTTTGAGAATGAAAGAAGTGAAATTCTAGAAGCAAGTAAACTTTTCATCGCCTCAGTGTGTGTGGTGGAATAGCAGCCGTTTGCAGTGGTCATCGACCGGCTGCAATGTACACTTGCATAACCAAACACACATAATTTGCTACTGCTATCATTTGACTCATTATGCAGTCCTCATGGATATTCATTACCAGGAGGTAAGTTTTTCAGACGTTAAAGTAATCTACTTTGTCTAAAATAGCTTTCTGTCCATACCTGTACTGGTGCCTGAATTTACGGGATCGCACAGGAAGTATCTTCTTAAAATCTGAGCCTCCTAGCTTTTCTGATGGATTGTCCAACTTCCCAGCTAGAAGTGTTTGTACATACCAGCTGCGTCCGTGTCTAGTACCAAAGCTTCTTTAGTTAATCAGCCAAAATTACTTAATAAGCAGTATTAGTTTTTAGGTGCTTCCAAAAAATATCACCTGATCCTCCTTTCTCATGCAGTTCCTTTGATTTAGTCTGTTGGACTATAATGAAAATTCAGGCAGATGATTGACAGAAAAACATGACTGAACAGTTTAGATTTTAGCTTATGGGCGCAGCGCAGTGAGAAACAGTGCTGCTGTCATGCTGTAATTGATGACTTAGACTGCGCTAATGAGATGATCAAACCATGCGCAATTCGTTTCGATAGCAATTCGGTGTTGAAGCGTACTAAGGAGTCAAAACTACCATTAGCTTCCTGCCAAGTAAAACTCGAAAGAGGAGGCCATCAACAATCTTACTAGTTCAGGAGGGGTAATTTTGGTAAGTGTTACCATCTGAGCTATTGCAGTTAATGTGAATACTCTAGGAAGTCAAAACCGTCATGGCTTTCGGCAAATTTTATTTCAAGTACTGTTAATGTGAATACTCAGGCTTCTTCGTCCAAGAACTGTTTGGTGGGGAAAACGGCAGAAGATATTTTCGTTTTAGAGGATACTTAAGCACTCACATAGCTGTTCTACGTTAGTTCTGAATCCACCAAAGAGCTTTGTCTTCTGTAGCAGCCGGTGAGATCGAGCCAGACGAATGAGCGTACTGGCGCAACTGCTACTGCGCCATGCTGCATCCTTTTTATTATGCGTTTTTTGCAGCTATGCAATGCAGAAAACGCATATTGACGAGGGTTGTCTGTGTGTCCGTGTGTCTGTGCGTTTGTGTGTGCATCTGTCACGCACTTTCATCTCAGGACCTATAAAAGCTACGGAGCTGAAATTTCGGGAACTTAATCTACATGCA